CCGTAGCATGCGCTGAGACAGGCTTTGGAATATCGGCCCGTGCTCTACTTGAGACACCTACCTCGCCTAGTTACGTAAGGGTTCATCATGCTCGGCTTCTCTTTGTAAATCCTATCGGAACTATATCCCCCAATTATGTGATACTAGAACGCTTATGAATCCTCTCCCCTAAAACAGTGAAAGGCTCACCCCCTTTAGTGAGCTATATTCCTAAGCTCATACCAGTAGAAATACCGGACAATTACTGAGGAGTTGGGGGGTTACAAGTAGGGCGAGAGCATATCTAGGGGCGGGGATGTTTACTGCGGGAAGTGATTGCAAACCACTGAGGCGGCTTTAGGGTTTTTAGCTTTTTGCTTCAGGATTTCAAGGCCTCAGATTTTACGGTTATAGTCCCCCTTAAGTAGATAGAATGGGGTATACCGGGATCCTATTATGATATACCCAAAGCCATGTTCCATCTACTTAAGGGGGACTATAGGGGTTGACTCCACGCTGTCCTCAAACCCACCTGCAGCCTTGTCTGGAAGCTTGCTAAACAATCCCTTATGTTCCTTGAGCAGGACGCCTAGAATCACTATATAGTGCATGTGTCTCCCTAGGGTTCCCTCAGCACCCTTTTTTGAGCAAACGCCATACAGAAGCCTTTGTTGCAATCTGGTACTGGCTTTGTCCTGATGCTTATTTCAGGCATCTTGGGTTATATAGCGATTACGGGGTCCTGATGAGAATGCTTTGGGCGCTTCCTACACGGATTCAGAAAGTTGGTTGTATATGCCACTGATTATGGATACCCGTTCCCATATGCTGCATACATGATCATGCCACACTTATGTATGTGTATTATATATGTATATATGTGCATGTAGGTGCATATGAGCTTATGCTTAAAACGGGCGAATCTGAATTTTTGATTGCTGAATTAAAGGATGGCGGAATCTTGCCGTGCGCGCTAACGCCATTGTACAGTCCAGCAGCGCAGCACGCAGCTCGAATTGGCTTCGGAAGCCTAACCAAGACCAGAAGGTTTAGGGGGTTAAGGTTAGGGTTTGGGGTCTGGAGTTTATGGTTTTTGTAGGATTGGGGATTGGGGGTTTCGGGTTTCTCAGTCTAACGGCTAGAGCCAAAACCCAAATTTCCTGAATCCTGCAAAACCCCTAATCCACAAGCAACAATGCTTCAACATTCTAGTACCCAAGATGCCCGCATCAAACAACAACCCCCAAACAACCTATCGGCTATGTTTGAATGCCTCCATTCTCAAAGCCCATCTGCAAGCCTGAAGACATAGGCCCTAAACTCAATGGTGAGCCCGCAGAGACCCAACACTTACCTAGTTACCGGCAACTCTGCGCTGCATTCTGGCAAACTAGGAAGATGCGTGCCAGGTGTTTTTACATGAGCTTAGGGTTACCGAAAACCTCTTATCACCTGTACCGGGAAGGACGCGGTCATTCTTGGATATCATGCTTCAGTATTCTAAAAACCAAGAAGGAATAACGACTTCACGCTCAAGGAATATCCCATAAAAGGAACCATGGGACATGAAAGCTCAGAATTCCTGGGCAGAAGCCGATCAACCATGCCCTTTATCTCCAAACAAAATATGGCCGATGTGTGCTGGGCATGCCTAAATCAGGCAAAGACCACGTTCGGAAAATGCCCGGCCAGGCTGGGGAGAGGTTGCCACCAGAAACGAGGGGATCCAGGCTTAGTTTAGGGAGTTTAGGGTTCAGTGTTTAGGGTTTAAAGTTCGGGGTTCGGCCTTTAGGGTTTATAGGGTTTAGGTCTTAGGATTCCCTCAAAGTTCGGGATTGTTTTGGGCAGGTACCAGGGTTGAGTCGGCACTGTAGGGGCAAGGATGCTGCAGTCACTTATTGAAAGTGCCGTTGAGGCACAGTATACTGTATGAATATCCTGTCACAAGGAACTGGGCAATTCTCGGTCATTGTTCAGATGCCGAAGACAGGCTTCTCCAGTCCCCAGTACATCCCTGTCCCACTTTGGGAAGTCCAGGATTCCTCATAAATCCAAAGGACTACGACCCTATACTTTGGATTTGTACTGTATACGGGCCCAAAGCCATGAAGAAATGCACGACAATCCTCTCCCTAAGCCCTGAACCCTTAACCCTAAACCCTACTCCTTTATCCAGAATCTTAGCATATGCACCTCTCTAACATGGCCGGGCTGTTGGCTCGATTCTGAGCAGGGAGTGGCGTTGGGTTTTAGGCTCCAGGGTCTAAGGTTTAGCATTTTGGGTTTGGGGTTTGGCCCTCAACTTTTTATCGGGAGTACAAATAAGGATACAGCTTTTGGGGAGCAAAGTGTAGAGTTTAGGCTTTGGAGTCAGCGTTTCGGGTCTGCACCTTGGGAAATCCGAACTGAGATCTCATTTCGCTTAAGACTCACTGACGACGTCATAAGCCATAGCTACATCTGGTGAATTAGGTAGTGCCCTCGACAATCTTCCTCTATATGGTCGCATTATGGTATCCTGAATCCAAAACGTTTACACCCTAAACCCTATAGTTCTGTTTCAGGTTCTGCTGAGTTAGCCAGTCTAGAGTCAGGCTGAAGGGATAAGAGTTATAGTAGTAATAATAGTAACAATGGTAATAAGAGTATAACAGTAGCAATCCATAGTAGAAGTGGTCACCACTTCATTCCCTGCTCCGAATTCTGGCAGATATGCAGAATTGCATTGCATGCATGCGTCGGAACCAGACCACCGCGGCGACCAAAAAGGACTGGTAAGCATTCAGGGGGGTCATTGCCAGAATTGGAGTAGTCACAGCAGGTTTTGGGAGGCACGAATCCCAATACTCCCGTCGAAGAATTCTGTGTTAGCCCTTGCTTGACTGAAACACAAAGGTTTTGGGTTTAGGTTTGCGGCTTAGGGCTTAAGTCATCTGAGACTGTTTCCTGTGAGCCCTGGAAAGAAATTCTCTTAAGTCAAATATATGGCCGGCTTTTCGGGTCCTTCCAGGAAGGGTGTGTATGGGGATGGAGAAGACAGTTTTTGACTTCTGGGACGTCAGCCTGGTCAAGATTTACGGTTCTTGTGGGATGAAAGTCGGTCCTTAGGTAGATTGAGTCTAAGGTTCAGATGCCCAGAACATGCTCCTTGCTTTGAAGACATTGCCACACATTTCCAAACCCCAGAGTACTGACGCCCTGAACTCTCCCAGTAGTCATTAAGGAAGTACCAAGGCATGATGTGTTTGTAAAGCATTGTATCGTCATATGAACCTTTAGGCTTCTTATGAATACCCTGTCAAACTCTTCCGTGACGAAACCAAAATCCACCGCAATAGTCCTGGTGCCTAGACATCAGTCTGTGAACCCTGAACCCCTAAAAGGCCCAGACCGAGACCTCGGAACCTCGGATCCCAAATCCACCCAAGCCCTTAAACCTGCAAACCCTGCACCCAAAAACCTAAACCCCTTGAACCCCACCTAAACCGTGAAACCCTAAGGTTTTCCTAAAACCCTTAGCCCTAAACAACCCCAAAGCTCAAGAGAGCCTCCTCGGGCACGGATTTTTTGGCTCATAGACGCCATGCACGGGCGAGCGCCGCCCGAGGCAAGAAAGCTCAAAAGTTGGGTCACAAGGTGTCCTAAATGACTCCAAATAGCTACCGGTGTTGTGGTCTTTTCAAAGGGGCCTATAGTGTATTTGGCCAAGACCCATTTGTTGCGCAACTCCTTCTCTCCAAAGACGGCGCCCCTCCCCCTTCAAGAATACTGTTTTTCTTGCACATGAGCATGTTGCACTTTCTTGCATTCAGGGGAACGGTGTCTGTCTCTCAGTGCGATTGATAGGACGTACCAGAAACGGGCCACGTTGATTTTTCGGAGGACTTGCTACTGCAATCACTCGTACGCTTGCTCCTCCCTGCCTGCCTTCTAAACTGGCAGCTGGTAATTGGGAGCAGCTAGCAGTGTAGCACCGCGTGGCACGTTGAGCAATTCTCCCTCAAGGTCTCCCTGGTGAAGGAGACATATAGTATTTACTATTGTCCAAACATCTATGCAGTGGTTCAATGCTGCTAACTGGACCCCAAATAATGTAGAATAATGGCCTTTTGGGCTATTTTTAGGGGTTCTGGGCTATTAGTTTACCTACTTTTGGGGTTCAGCTAAACCTTTTCCTAGAGGTTTGCTTGCAGGAACGCAGAGATACCAAGACGGATGAAATGTTAGCTTGGCGACCCTAAACCCCAAACCCTTAGCCGGCCAGTTGCTGTGGAGTGTCACCTTCTGCGGTTGTCCTCGGTGCTTCGTATGTTAGGAATCCGATTCTCGAGAGGGCCGTGTCAATTTGAATTCTGCAATTTTGGATCTGCTTTCTCAAGAAAGGCTTGATGTTCTTGACAGCAAAACCCTGCATGACCTTTGTGTATTAGAGCACCGGATGAGGCTTGGCTCCATGGCTTTGGTCTAAAATTCTGAGTGCCAGAGGAAAGTACGAGGATGAGAGTTGACATTTTAGTGTTCGCCACACGGTTAAGGGTCTAGGGTTGAGTTTGTTGTTTAGAGTTTAGGGCTTAGGGTACCCGTTTTAAGATTGATCCCTAAATGTTCCGTATGCAGGGACAAGGCCTCACTGCGTGCTGAAGGGTGAGAGGTTCGGATCTTTGCAGCGAGCAGGCTATGTTGGTGGGTGGGAGTGGTGGTCATACCCCGAGATTAGGGCCCTATGGGAATTCTCAACGCAATCCCTCCTTAGTCCCTAATGATGACACCACATATCCCCAGGGTCAGAATAAGGGCCCTCTGTTTTGAGATACTCCCATATGCGTATAAGTTGCGGCATTGGCTCCTTGTTTGGGCTCCTAGAAGTCCGAAGGAACTCCAGGTAGGGAATTTCTGAAAACTTTTTTTGGCGTATGTCTTTTGCAACTACCCAATAAACAGTACAGACTAGTTCTAGTTGGGGGTTCCAGGCCAGTCCCACGCACACCTTCTACACCCGCCCCGAAGGTTCCAGTTTCAGCATGGCAGATGTGTCCTCGGGCTCTGAGAATGAGGCCCTTGTCCAGGGGTGTGGGGTTAAGGAGTTCAGGGTGTAGGCTTAGGGAGGTTAGGATTCAAGGGGTGTGGGGTTAAGGAGTTCAGGGTGTAGGGATTGGGTTTAGAGTGTGCAGTTGAAGATTCAGGCTTTCGAGTTCTCTGGACATAATGTCGAGACCGCTTTACTGTCGAGCGGCACACTGGAAGCAGGAGGACCTGACTCCGAACAACATGATAAGCAGGTTCCTCAAGGCCAAACAA